AGATCCCCAAGCCTCATTGGATCTGGATTCTCTTTATTGTTGAGCCAATCAAGTTGATCACCTGGACAGCTGCTCGTATTACCTGGATGGCCGCTCTTCTTCCTATGGTTCTCGAGTTCCCTACTCCTGCGGCAGACATGTTCCGGTCTACCCTAGAATGGTACACCAGTGATCAGCGGATTGCGTTCCACATCACCGCAAGGATCTGTCGTGCTGTTGGTGGCCCGATTGTGCTTTTTATTGCAGTCTTGATCATCAAGTTCTTCCTCGATCTCATCTGTGGCAAGCCCAGACCTGGTCCTGCCTCAAAACAGACCACTCGCCAAAAGATTCGGAGTGCGGTGCTTGCGCAGATTCTGCCCGCAGGTGACATCCACGGACTCACCCGCCTTACTGGTCGTCACTACGAATTTGTTTCAATGGCTGTCCGTGCCCTTGGTGGCAAGGTTGGCAAGCATGTCTACTGGCCTAGTGTTGGTCCCGTCACTGTCGACTTTGATCTCATTGAGGTTGGTAACGATGTTGTTTTTGGTTCTCGCTCGACTCTGGTCACATCTGATGGCTACGGCCGTGATCGCATCGTGATCGGTGATGGCACCATGGTTGGTGATCGTGTCGTCGCTTTGCCCGGTGCTACCATCGGCCGTCAAGCAATGATAGGCTCCGGTGCTTTGCTTCGCCGGAATGGGGACTACCCTGCCAACAGTGTCTGGACTGGTAGCAAGGGTGGTGAAGCTATACAGTTCCCAAGTTCCACCTCGACCTCCACTTCGACCGCTCCAACCATCATCGGAGATGGTGGCAGCAGCCCCAACACTAGCGGCAGCGAAGACGAGAAAACACCGACCGAAAAGCAGACCTACTGTGGAACTAAAGACAAGGCTGTTACCGAGATCGCTGAGCAGGAAGTGGATACATGCAAGCCTTTCGGTCGCGCCTTCTACCGCCACGAGGCCAACTACTACGTCCTCCGCATGTGGCAAATTGTCATCTATTCCACTTTTGCAGTTATTTTCACTACTGTGTATTGGCTTCTCACCGTCTTGTTCTCCCTTTTCGTTCTCCGCAGTGTCCTAAGCTACAGTGATGCTGCTGGTTTCAAGCAAGGCGCCTGGCGCCCATTCGTTCTGTACGGCACGCTCGCCTCGATCCTATCTGTCATCACCACCGTTCAAGTCGCCCTTGCCTTCGGCATTATTCTCTGCATCAAATGGACGGTCGTGGGCCGTCGCAAGGAAGGCTCCTACCACTGGGACAAGAGCAGCTACAACCAGCGCTGGCAATTCCTCCTTTCCTGCGAAACGTTGATCAAAGACTGCTATGACGGAGTTGGTCTCCTGCCCATGATCTCTGGCTCTGCCTACATTTCCTGGTACTACCGCCTCTTGGGTGCGAACATTGGAAAGGACTGTGCGATACACGCCAACGGTAGTCCCAGCATCTTTTTCACCGAGCCGGACCTCCTTACCCTTGGTGACCGTGTTGCTGTCGATGATGCCAGTTTGGTCTGCCACTTGAACTCCCGTGGTGGATTCGAGCTGCATACCTTGAACGTTGGGGATCGGAGTATCCTGCGCGCTGGATCGCGCTTGATGTCTGGTGCTTCGATGGGCCAGGATGCTTGTCTTTTAGAGCATACTCTGGTCCTGTCCGGAGACCATGTTGAGAATGGAGATACGCTCCAGGGATGGCCGGCCGAAGGATTTGACGGGAAACGTGTTTAGAAGTCTTAGATTGTTTTCCATTTCTTGGCGCTTTGTCTTTGTCCTAGAGAACAGATAGACTAGCAATTTTAGATCGGACTTCTCAGATTTTCATTATTGTTATATTGTCATCGAGAAGATCAAGTGCATTTTAATTATGAACAGAAATATGCCACTTCTATCACATTTTTATTTGGGAATTACTATACCACACACCCTTTTGGACCACTTCAGGTAAGGCCTTTCTTATCCCTGTTTTGAAGACTCTTTTGAAGACTCTTTTTTTTACCCATAGACCTCAACAGCCCATTACTCGTATTTGTAGGATCACTATAATCTATTATACGAATCACTTCATAATCTAGCCGGCGCCAGTATCATGCGACAGCCTTTAATTATCAATTATTTACCGGTTACTTTACGAACTGCGTTATTATTTCACCATGACGGCTTCAACTGTAAATTTCATACAATCTACTTTCTAACTCCGAGCCCAAGATCGTCCCGAATCCCTCCCCACTCCCCCACCCTCACTCCACTTTCCGCCCCGGCTGTGATAAGAACCGAGACAGGCCACGAGGCCGGCTCCGACACTCGTGGTCGGCTCCGACATAGGCTCCAGCCTCCGACATAGGCCCAGTCGAGGACGTAGATACTAGAAGGGGGAAAGGCATAAAAACCACGGAGTACTCCATAGTATAATCAACCTTGCAGGATACAAAAAGGGATTGTTACAGGGACCCCTCCAATTGCTAATTCGACCCCCCTTTGGCTAATAGGACCCTTGATTCTGCTTTATTCTGCCTTGCACATAAGGCACCACTTTAATTCTTCCAGCCTTAATTCTAAGGCAGAAGAAGAATCAAGCGGCAGAATATATACCGGGACCTTGCCAAGACCAGGCAAGTGGCAGAATTCTGCCTCGACCCGATCAGAAAGGCGGTATGTACTGAGGTCAGGTGCCCGAGATTATCTAAGGAGTGCCAAGGCCTCAAGATCTTATGCATCTTTGGTTTTATTTGCAATTGCCAGTTCCTAAATTCCCTGGGATTTTGGGGATGTTGTTCTTTACTTTCCTTTGTGTATTACTTTGTTGTTCTTGTTCAAAATATGTCGATAATCTAATTCTAACCCACCTATCAGCAGATGGAAATCTGGTAGGTTGAAGTCCTCAAGATCAACCACGCAAAGAAAGAAATCGACTACCCTCTGGTGTTTATTCACAAAGAAGCCTCTAATGGAGTCCACCAAGAAATAGCAAGAGACCAAAGTGAATCATCTTTGGTTTCTTTGTCGGTCTAAATCTCTTTGGAGTCGACATGATCAGCTTTGGGTTTTCGGAGATGCTGTTCTTTTCCAAACATGCCATTGGTCTAATATTATCTTCTTGGCTAGAGAGTTTATAATCAAATCTTAAAAGCACCCACATAGACTCTTTGATGAAACTGTCTGGTTTGGATCCTAGTTCTTAGATGCGTGTTCCAATGCTAAAAATGGAATTGATTCTTTGAGCTTATACTTCGGCCTTCTGGACTCGGGACCGACGTTACCTTGAGGCATTTCTTATGGGACTTGCAAGGAAGCTCTCCTCGGATGCAGCTGTAAATAAGACGATGTCCTTCGCAATCGACAATCTAATACCTATTCCCAATCTCGAGCCTCCCTCCTTACCTCTTACCGTTTCCTTCCAAAACTCATACTTTATTCACCATTGCTTTCCTCGATATGCCTGAGCCCCAGTGGTCTAACGCTCAAATACCTAAGGGGTTTCCCCGAGATTGGCTAAAAACCCACGACGGCTAAACTGCACCTATGCCAGAGGTGCATAAGATTCACCTACTGAGTTCAAATTCTGACGACACTGATGGACTGAAAAGCTCAAAGACCGAGGATCCTATTGAACTTCCGGTTCTCAGCCCGAACGATCCGGTTAACGAAATGTATAAAGTGGCCCTCTCAACATTCCTGCACGAGGAATTCCAAACAAACTATATGATAAAAGACGACCCTTTGCATTACGAACGACGCTACGTCGTTTGGCCCGGCATTGACTTGAATAGATTTCGATTAATCGACACCCCAGCTAGCTTTTTCCGAGTGCTAGAGATGTCGCTTTTGTCCGAACATATATATGAACCAGAAGGGAAGAAATGGCCAGTCTCAGCCGCAAAAAGACGCACGCGCCTTCTTAAGAACCTTTGGGAGCGGGGGGATATACGGCTTGTCGATGAGAAGCCCCTCCTCAGTGAATACCAAGTGCGCCGCGTGGCATCGACAACTCGTTCTGAAGTCGAGACATATCGAGAATTTCTTCGTTGCCAGCACTTCAACATGGGAAAAGAGATGATTTTCCCTGAACTTTGGGAGGAGGAGGAAGAAGGTTGGTATTGGGAGGAGAAAAAAATTCATTTACATGGCTGTATACTTGCTTAATGCTACCTCGTGTTCTACATTTCTATTTCTCTCAGATAAGTATCTTACCATTGCCTCTGTCGCTGCTTGAACTCCTCACCCCTTCGTGGATTACATATCTAGTTCGCTCTTGTTGATGAATACTCTGGGTCTCTTGCAATTTCACTTGTACTTTAGCTTGATCAAATCCTATCATGATATCTTCAGATACACAAAGAACCTAGTACTGTAGGATTCAGAATGTCCTACCCTCTCAATCGAGAGAGTCGTTGCAAGATAACCAAACAAGGAAAATTGCGACAATTTGTTTTAGAGTGCATTGTCTTAGTCTCTCAAAGCGGTCGACAATGGCCTTTGGTTTGAAGTAATCAGAATGTGGATTAAGGCATAATCCACTAATTTCTACAGGTGTAATACGTACACTTAGAAAGACAAGAAGCGGAAGGTTTAATGGATTCACACAATTATATCCACTATCTGCTATTCGCGCCATTGCGAATCCGATATGAAATTCGTCACATGGAACTTAGAGGATATCTAGTTCTTTGAAGCAATCACTATTGATTCTCTTTTTGAGACATCTAACTCATCACCGTGAGTTTTACGTGGACAAAGGAAATAATAAGCCCAGTCCTGACGATTGTTGGACAGACAACAAATAGCCTATTAAATTGAAGCGAAATGTTGATATGGTCGCATACTGGAACATGAAACCATTGTACCTAGAATCTGTGACTATGGGGTACACGATTTATCAATTATAGTTGAAACTAGACGTACTAAAGAAATGGGTTCAGCACGTAAAAGGCTATACTATATAATTTGTAAGTACTATCGCTCATCCGGGGGTTTTTATTTTCACTCACTTCTCCGATCTTACCAAACATGGAAGTTGTTGCTACGGTCATTAGCATCACACGCGCATTGGTGTTTGTGATCAATATTTTCGATGAGTGCCGACAATTGATTGTGACCAAAGAGCTAGGTTATCTCCGTGATATGGCAGATGGACTGAGGACCACTCTCAGTCGGACCAAAAATCCTGCTGAACTTATCTTGAGACACACAGATCCCTCGTCTGTAAGTGCTAATGGCTACAGGGTTCTCTGCGAGGGCCTCCAAAAAAAACTTATCAACTTCAAGAAGACTGCAAAGATAATCAACGACAAGCTTCAAAGTATTTGTGGCAAAACAGGCTCTACGTTTTCCAAGAACCATAAGGGTTTGGTAAAGCTCATACGGCTACAAGCCAACACACGACTCTTCCGACGGTTGCAAGATCGGGTATCCTCCCATGCATCCTCCATTGGCTCCTTGCTGCTTGCCATGGATACGTGAGATTTCCGTAATTCAATATCAAGTTACTGGCTAACCATTCATACCTAGGTACTATCAAAAAGGATTCCAGGAAAAGCTTGATATCAAGATTGATCGCCTGCTGCTGCTTCAGGAAAAATCTCGGCTACCCAATGAGCTTGGCACCCAGCAGGTTGGCACGGCCACCTCTTTGCCCAACAAAAGCAAGCCATTCACCATTCCTCGACTTGCCACTGACTTTTATCGAGAGTGGAATGATTAATTCGAGGACTTGTTGCAAAAGCTCAACCCTTCTTTGGTTGAGGGCCCCGAATACTCAAATCGAATGATATATATATCTGGCGATGCAGGAGTAGGAAAGACATACTTGTGTTCTGAATTTGCGGAGAAGTACAAGACTTGGTAGGGATTTTACCCTATACTCTGCTTCATATATATCTTACTCCCTATTCAAAGTCACTCCGGCGTTCTTTGGATTGATGATGTTCTTAATGACATCTCAGCATTTTATGTTGAGAACAACCGATTTGAGAGCCTCAACATCCCAACACAGGCGGCAGATGTGGTTAACTGGCTGACTGGGGTTCATGGGCCATGGCTTTTGGTCATTGATGGCGCTGAAGATTTGACAAAATGGAAATGTCTTTCGTCTTGCGGTGACAAAAAAACACTTTCTTATCACGACCAGAACAACCCAATCGGACACCGCTACCTCTGTTCATATCTCAGGGATGGACACTAAGGATTCACAGGAATTCCTTTTGTGGGCCGCGGGTTTCTTGAAGCCTTGGTTTGTCTCGGATCTTGCGTGGAGTAATGATCTCATTGGCAAACTTGGTTCCAATGCGCTACCCCTTGCCTTAGCCCATGTGGGTGCCACGGTGCGCAATGGCTTTTCCACCCCAGAAGACTATCTGGCGCTCTTGGAAGAGCAACAGACAAGGGAAACACAAGCAGATCCTTCGCAAGATTTACAAAGGTTGGCCTTTGAAGTGGCTATCGCAAAAATTCGAAAACAAAAAGATCAGCCATCCAAGGATGCACACAAACTCCTCAACGCTTTCGCCTTTTTCCCCAATAGACACATGTCTTTGGAGACAGCAACAAAAGCAATCATCACATCCAGGACTATTGGCGGGGAGCAGCGACGGAGATACCACAAGAGATATCCCACATCAAAACTCATCAGACGGAATGGGAAAGCCTACAACACTTCTCAATCTACATCTCGTCGGCAAAGCTCGGATTCTGTTGCCCTTTCACGAGTTCACTGGGCGATCATGGAGCTCCTCGATATTTCCGCGGTTATATATCGCCCACCAAGTGGTACATACTCGATGGAAGCTGTCTTGAAAAGCTGGATCGCAGACAGCCTAGGTCAATCTGAGCGCGAAGTTTGGAAAAACTTAGCTGACATGATAGCCCCGCAAAAGGCGTCCAAAGAATCCCTTTGATAGTTTTTTGACAGAATTTCCTTCTTCCGGATTTAGTTTGTTGTGTTTTCCCTTCTTTTCTTCAGTGTGAGTTGGTTATATAGTCGAATCTCATAATCCTATCTTCTAGTTTTTCCAATCTTCCAGCTGTGACGAGCCAAGTCTTGCAAAGATGGAAGAGTGCATTAATTCAAAATAACTAAGATAGGGGAGAAAGAAGAAGCAAGTTGCAAAGTGGGAAACAGCCAGTTCTTATAGCTGACCACTTTGTAGACAATGTAAACAACCAAAGAAACAAACAAGCAAACGTTGCGATCGTAACACCAGCCTTCATTCTTGGATTCACCCATTTACCTAGATATCTGCCTGATGAGACTTGAACTTTTCTCAAACCTTCTTTTCATTTATTGAAGATACGAAGGTGTATAGCGGCCAACAGCCATGCCTGATTTTAATGGTTTTTACGGAGCCCGTTGATCAATTAGCCAACAATAGTCTTGTGCAAGGGATTTCTCATAGTCAGGAACATTTTATATTTCATACCAGTAATTAGTCGTCGCAGAGCAAAGCGACTTATTCTAACTTCTAATGCTACGCAAAGTATGACTGTAGAAGCTCTGGGAAAGATAATGATGGTTCGTTCTCTAGGTATGGACCGTCGGGATATGCCCGAGAGGCCCACGTGACCGTATGATCACAATCTAACCAAATTAGGCCTAGTCTATATTTATTCTGCCAAAGGACATTTCACCGCATAGTTTCCCATGAACTTCGACCCCAGTGAAGAAGAGGATGTTCACATGACATCGAGATTATGATTCATTGTTGCTTTGCTTCACTCCGCAAAAAGTATAGGAGCTAGTTTTCTTGAATTTGCTGTTATATAAGCCATTCATGGAGGCATCGTAGGCACCTCACCAATGACCAATAGCGAAAAACAAGAATAGACTCCACCCTCTAGGGCTTCGAAGAGCCACTGCTCACAAGACTTCTACATCCTTCCCCGCCCCGTTGCTTTCATCTCTTAAACGCATCGAGTGGAACTAACTTTTAAATAAGGATCATACGGGATTTCGGCTATACCATGCTGCAAGTGAGAGTGCCACGAAAAGGTCTAGCCTATAGTGATGTCTGAGTACCATGCACTTCCCGGTGATGTGTCCAATTTCCTCCAGTAGCAATTTCCGTCTGCCGCCTCTTGCGTAAATAAGATTTTATACCCCACGCCAACAGGTCTACCCCGCAAAATTACTATTTAGAGCGCTGATAGTGCGGGGATAGTAGACTAATGCACTGAGAGAGCGCCACATTATAGGCTGAATCATGTTTCCCGGCCAATCCGAATCTGAGTGAATCATAATATCACTTCACTTCATTAGACTCTGTTATATACGGTTCTTTAGAGTTTGAAGCAATTACCGATTATTCCGCAACAAATTTTGGGAAGAGAAACAGCTAAAAATATGGCATTGAACGCAGATTCGTTCCCTGGTATACAATTCCGTAAGCCAGGGATATGTACATATAAATGGGTATAGCTAGTAACGTAGGATAATATCGAGAGAACTAATATTCTCGTCTTTTGCCGGATGAGTTCAACAAACTACTCTTCATCCCCCACGCAGACGTTCCTTGACCATACCCCGCCTAGGAGAATGGGGGTAAAGGGATAGCAAATATTCCTGGAGATATTTTCCTCGTATAGAATCTGTAAGAGATTGGTCTCGGCAATCAAATGAGCTGATGCCAGCCGTACATGAAATGCGGGGAACTTCACAGAAAGCGCTTCAGGGAGGTATTGGCTTTGGGCTGTTTGAGATAGTCAACCTGAAAGATAGGACATAATGATCAGCAGTTTCTCTTTCAATGTGCTGCAATGGTCATGTTTTTGTTATTCTCAACATGCTGATACAGTGTGTTTGACTGGACAGAGCTGGACAACACATTACTTGGAGTACGTTGGATCAACGTACTTTTTGACAAAGATGAGTCTGATGTTAGCCACCCTCCAGTACTTGAACTCTGTCTCCGCGCGCGGGGTCAATGTAGAAGGCTATTGGCTGTGCATATGGGTTGAGATGGGGAAATTGCCTCTGTAGATACTTCCACGGGCACACAAGCACAGCTATATAAGGCCCCTCTGGTAGGTCCCATCAGAAGTCTACTTATTCCCTCGAGCACTTTCTTCATAATCATTCTCAATTGCTATATTGTCAACATATTCAGAGTTATGACTATCCCAGACGAAGTTGATATCATCATCTGCGGTGGCGGCAGCTCGGGATGTGTCCCTGCGGGCCGCCTCGCGAATCTTGATCACAACCTGTCTGTTTTGTTGATTGAGGCAGGCGAGGATAACTTGAACAATCAATGGTGAGAATGCCGAGGCTACCAGTCTTAATGAACGTATTCTCATTTCAACCTAGGGTGTACCGCCCGGGTATATACCCGAACAACATGAAGCTTGATTCAAAGACGGCATCATTCTATCACTCCAGGCCATCTGAGCATTTAGATGGTCGCCAGGCTATTGTTCCATGTGCCAACATTCTTGGAGGTGGCAGTTCTATCAACTTTATGGTAAGTGATACCAATCTGACAGTTTGACTCAGTGATCCTAAGCTGAATACATTAAAGATGTATACCAGAGCATCCGCGTCCGATTATGACGACTTTCAAGCAAAGGGTTGGACAACCAAGGAACTTCTTCCATTGATGAGGAAGCACGAAACATACCAACGTGCGAGCAATAACCCGGAATTGCATGGCACTGACGGACCCATCAAGGTTTCATTTGGGAACTATACGTATCCGATCAAGAATGACTTCCTTCGTGCTGCTGAGACGCAAGGAATTCCATTCACTGATGACCTGCAAGACTTGAAAACTGCGTACGAGCTCCACGATAGATCTCCTATTCTATCTTACTAACGAAGAGTCGTAATGTTACAGCCACGGTTCGGAACACTGGTTGAAGTGGATCAACCGTGATACGGGTAAGAACGAAGATCCAACTTTGCATCGGTATCATTACCTCTCTCACACTCAGTATTAGGACGACGAAGTGATGCAGCCCACGCCTATGTCCACAGCACCCGAGCCAAGCATAATAATCTCCATCTCCAATGCAATACCAAAGTTGAGAAGGTGATTGTTGAAAATGGTCGTGCCGTGGGAGTTGTGACAGTCCCAACTAAGCCTCTTGACGGCGGAGAGCCAGTTCGCAGGGTCTTCAAGGCCCGAAAGCAAATCATTATTAGTTCGGGTACACTGAGTTCTCCACTGATTCTCCAGCGGTCCGGCTTTGGTGATCCTGAGAAGCTGCGCCGGGCTGGGGTCAAGCCCCTGGTCAACCTACCAGGCGTCGGCCGAAACTTCCAGGACCACTACCTTACTTTCTCCGTTTATCGCGCTAAGCCCGACGTCGAGTCCTTTGACGACTTCATTCGTGGAGATCCCAAAGTTCAAAAAAAGGTCTTCGATGAATGGGATAAGAAGGGCACCGGTCCATTGGCCACTAACGGTATCGATGCCGGGGTCAAGATTCGGCCTACGGAGCAAGAGCTCGGCGAGATGAAGAAGTGGCCTACCCCAGACTTTACAGAGGGGTATGAGTCGTATTTCAGGAACAAGCCTGATAAGCCTGTCATGCATTACTCGATCATTTCTGGGTAAGCACCTCATTCGCTTCGTTTTGAATGCCACGAGGCTAACCCACGGATAGCTGGTTCGGAGACCACATGCACATGCCTCCGGGCAAGTTCTTTACCATGTTCCATTTCCTGGTATGGTTCAAAGTCACCAAATCAGATCAGCCAAAGCTGACAACATAATAGGAATACCCCTTCTCGCGCGGTCACACCCACATCCAGTCGGCTGACCCTTACGAAGTCCCGGACTTTGATGCAGGTTTCATGAATGACAAACGTGACATGGCACCTCTGGTCTGGGGATATATTAAATCTCGTGAGACCGCCCGGCGCATGGGTTCGTACGCTGGAGAGGTCACTGCCATGCATCCTCAGTTCGCCTTCAACTCATCGGCACGGGCGCAAGATATGGATTTGGCCACTACCAAGGCATATGCCGGCTCCAACCATATTTCTGCTGGTATTCAACACGGTATAGTCTTCCTTTCCAGTCGAGTTATCCCGTCCGTCTAGCTAATCAAATAATATAGGTTCTTGGACCACTCCATTGGAACCCGGAAAGCAGCCTTCGGCTTCAACTCTCAACTCCAATAGACACGAAGCTCGTCCTTCGCTGGAGTACACCAATGAAGATATCCAGCACATTGAGAAGTGGAGTAAGTATCAAGCATAGTAATTGGTAGCCCCGGATCATATTGTCTAACGCTTTTGCTGCAGTTTCCCGCCACGTTGAGACAACTTGGCATTGCCTTGGCACATGCAGTATGGCTCCGCGAGAGGGTAATTCCATTGCACCCCATGGAGGTGTCGTTGACGAGCGCCTCAATGTGCATGGTGTCAAGGGCCTCAAGGTTTGCGACTTGTCTATCTGCCCCGACAATGTGGGCTGCAACACTTTCAGCGTGAGTGTTATGTTTGTTGGTTACTCTGGGTTTGGCCAAATACTGACTATTATATCCGATAGACCGCTCTCCTTATCGGTGAAAAGTGCGCAGTCTTGGTTGCGGAGGACCTTGGCTATTCTGGGGCCGATCTGGATATGAAGATCCCTACTTACCATGCTCCAGCAGAATTCTCCAATCTTTCTCGCCTTTGAGTGTCTTTTTTGATGTGAACCGAAGAACATGTTCTAGGATATTTCATTCTATTCGACGAGAAGAAGTTCCGTCCTCATTGTCAAATTGAATTAACATAGTCATTTCACTGAACAGTCAATCTGAAAATAAAGAACCAGGTAAACCGACTTATATTAGCTAAACGTCATAGAGGAATTCAGAAACGAGAGGAAGTGGAGATAGACAGTTGAAGGGAAGATGGCATTTGTGATGTGTATGTATGCCTTCGGCCGCTAGTGTTGGTGCCTCAGTTTAGACCAGGTAACTAGCCGTCTTACAGTACCCATACCATACCATCCCACGGCTAACAACTGTTAGTTGACTATGGACATCTTCCAAGGTTATGTAGTTACTAGCCCCCGACTCCCTACTAGGAAGTTAGTAGGAACTATGTACCAGTACTAATCTAGTGATAGCTGACTGGTAAACAAAACTTTATTTTCCTAGGCCAAGTACAATATATGACTGTTCATAAGTTTTAACAGCCTGAATTATATAATATTCTGCCTATCTAAAACACCATAATAGTACAGAGTAAGTAGGGGTGACGGCGAAAAGACCACGATTGTGCGTGGTCTTTTGAGGGGAAATCGTGGTCCTTTCACCCAGCGCTCGCGTTAGAGCATTGAATATAATACTAGCCAAGTTAGGCTTAGCGCCCTTATAGGAGTAAGTATTTATCATATATCAACGCCCCAAATCAAAAGCGGTAAGGCGTGGGCGGCAAGGCAGATAATTAAATCGGTGAATGCCAAGACGGCAAAACAATCGGCCGCATGACAGGCGAAGGGGCGCTTCATCTCCAATCTCGAGCTCCCCTGCAGCTGACAATCCGGAAAAAGGAGACCAGCAGTCTGATATGTTCCGAGTCTTGCGGCGATTGGGAGTCCCTTCGCCAATCATTCAGCATTGTCGATTTCGTTGCCCATCTCGACCATTATCCGAGATGGGAAACAAGAACAGCGCACCTTCGCCACATACCTGGCTCGACAGCACATCCCCAGGAACAGATTTGCAAGAACTGACTCGTCGTTAGTAGCTTACACTCACCGGAATTGACTAACAAGTTAGTATGTCACTGACTTTGTATTGTAGGACATGATCCGCATTCGTATTCCGGTGGAAGATGGCTCAATCGGGACGAGCTCGAGCGAAACTCTCGCCACGTTATGTTTGACTTCTCAGCGCTGTGTGAGCGGGCTGTTCACATATGTCTAGGAGCCACTAGCGTTCTCAAATATGAGAAGCGAGAAGGTGGATTCAATAAAGTCTTCCTTTTAACAATGGACAATGGACCTTGTGTTGTGGCAAGGGTACCTACCGGTATTGCTGGCCCGCCAAGGTTAACGACCAACTCTGAAGTTGCAACGATAACTTATTGTAAGGCTAAGCCGCATCTCCTTTCATTAAGGGTATGGCTGATATGCTTACGAATTTATGTCTGTATAGTACAATCCAAGATATCGCTTCCAATACCGAAAATTCTCGACTGGAATGATAATCCTTCTAATCCAACTGGAACTGAATATATTATCTAGGAGTATGTGACAGGTGTTCAATTATATCAACAGTGGCACAAAATGAACCCGGAACAACATATGCTATGTACCAAAGCACTTTCATTAACAATGAAAAAGATGGCTTCCATAGACTTCCCGGCCTATGGAAGTCTATACTTCGCAGATGCGCCGCTAGACTCAGACTCAAAGATTCCCTTTGAGCAGGGCTTCTGTGTGGGACCACATTGCAGTCCGGTTTTCTGGAACCGAAATCCAGGGGAACATGAACTCTACTGTGGCCCAAGCCCCAATTGCGGACCTTGGAGAGATCTCACAAGTTATTATCGAGGTTTGATAGATACCGGTTTTTCTCGTTTGCCCAAAGAAGCCGTCAATGATCGCAAGCTTCTCCCATATCAAGGATCAATTCAAGATCACATCCGTATATTGAAAATAAGTCGAGAGGTAATACAAAAGTTGATTGAAGATAAACGCATTCAGGACGCTGCTACACCAGCTCTGCTTCACCCGGATTTTCACAAGAGGAATATCTACGTCTCTGCCGAAGAACCAACCGTTATTACTGGCCTGATAGATTGGCAATCAACCAGCATTAAGCCCGCTTTTATGTATGCCAATGAGATACCTGATTTCGCTGCACTCCCAAGGATCCCCGAGGAAGATCCACTCGAAAATGAACAAAATGAAACGGAAATTTTTGGACAAAAGGAACGAGAATTAAAAGATGCATCTGTCTGTTATCAGACATATGATGTGGTCATGACAGCCCTTGTTCCTAAGCTTCGTCCTGCAAGATTACTTGATCCGACTCTTTTTCGACTCTTCCACTACTGTCACACAACTTGGAGAGACTCCGCTGTCGCTGTCCGCCAAGAGTTAATTGAGCTTTCAGCTCGCTGGGTGGAACTTGGGCTAGAGCGCTCGTGTCCATATTCCCCCACAGAAGCGGAATTGAAGCAGCATGCTCAAGACTATGAAGATTTTGAGGCTGTTCAAGCACTCAAGTCATGGCTAAGAGACAACCTTGATACAAATTCTGACGGGTGGATCCCGAATGATGTATGGGACACTGCGAGGGTTGCTCATCGCACAGCGTATGATGAATGGATACAGACTGCCAAAGAAGCCGAGTCGCGTGGCGAAGATATGACAGTAGCAAAGGCGGACAAGATGTGGCCATTTGATGCTAGATAGAAACCAGGGGAAGGCAATCAAAAAGTCAGCTCACTGTCTCTAGTGCCTAGTCTAAACCCAGTCCAGCCCTTACGTTAGTTTTTTTACGTTAGGATATGACGGCCTGATGTTTGTTTCTGTCTGGCGAGGCATTTTTTAAGCAAATCTCGCCAGTTCCTAGGAGTAAGCAGACTGTCCCTGGGACGAGCATGAGTATTTTCCGCGGGACTGTCCAGTAAGTCTCTTCGCCAGATCGGAAACGGCAAAACTAACTCGAAAAGACAATTCATAGTCCTTAATTTATTTACATTGTGGTTTGGTGCAAGAGAAAACGAGGGAGTGGTCTAAGTTCGATTAGGATGGCATTTCTTACGTGGCATCCGCCAAAGAACGCCTCTGTTTCTTGAGCGTCGTGCTCCAGTACACCTGTATGGACCCTTTACTCCTCCCGGCGAATTTCTGTGCAAACTGTCTCGTGACCTCCGACCAAGCAAGATTCTGTTCCAAGAATTAGTCTTGGCACATCATCAATACATTGTGTTCCCTCCAAAAAGGCCTTGGTATCTTACCCGGTTGACAGGCCTTACACCTGCATAACGTATACCTTTACATTACCCATTGTTCTATAACTCGAGACAAAGGATGATACACAGAAGAGTGGACTAATATAAAGATATACTACCTCTATCTCCAGTCTATATGACCTATTCCTATTTCTTCTTCTTTTTTTCTATCTAGTCCTCTATTCTAATCGATTGTAAAGTTAATAATTTTAGTCATAAGGCATCCAGTCAATTGAGCTCTACTAACCAGTCATTCCATAACTAATAGCTGTAGATAAGACACTTCTAACGTATTAACCAAGAGATTAAAGCTACCCAATCGCCTCTATTCTATATATAGCTCATATTAAAGGATTCACTCCCTACTATCTTATCCATCCATCTTAGCGTATCTATAAATGGATAACCACATTAAAGGGGTCGTCAAGGACAAGGCATACTTAGTAAGCTAAGTTCTACTTGTGACAATCTGGGAAGGATCGTACTTGCCAAACGAGGAAGGAACGACTATGTCCTTGTACCTTCCTAAGTGGTCGGACGGAATTAAGCGAAGACAAACGCAAGGGTATAAGAAGGGAAGAACGCGCACTCAGATAGTTTCTCTTTTTCCCTTTCTTCTTCGTACTTAGAATTTGGTCTGAATTGCACTCTTTTCTTCTGAATCGAATTGGCTCGTAACACTACTTAGCTATTTCTGAAAATAGAATTATAGTATAAAGGATTAAGAGGAACAGAGGTATATAAACGGTCTAGGGAGGTCGGTAAACGATTTTAGAGATCATTAAAGTAGCTTAATATAGCCACTATAGAAGCTTTATATTATAAAGAGTAGGGAAAGGAGAGGTTAATCATATTATCCAGCTCTTATAGGCGCTTATATTCTTAGCTTATATAGATTCTAGAGAGGAGCGTCTAGTTAAATATATAATTAATAGGTTTTAACTAACATTTCCCTTAGCGCAAAATTCATTAGATACTATTAGCCATAAGGCTCTCACTCTTATACCATACCCTAAGGCAGATCTATAGACCCGCTATATATAGGCAATTGTCTACAGGGGGTCTAGGGTAACTAAAACCAAAGGGCGCAATAGATTAACAATAGACTAGCCGGCTGATATATCCCTAAGGCAGAGGTATAGTTCAGCGTGGTAGACTAAAGGCAAAAATACCTTATATCGAGTATATTCGGCGATTCTAAGTATAGAAAAGGGGATAGGCGAGGCAAAGCTACACACAGAGCGCTCGAGAGGTCGAACGAGGGCAAAGGACTAGTCATTTCGTGCCGGTAACCGAGGGGGCGGTAGGGCTCGGCGAGCTAGATCAATAGCAAAAATGCCTTACTGGCAGGACACATATAGGACGCAGATAGTAGGAAAGGGGCCGTAACGGGCGAAACGTTTAGCAAGTAACAGTCGGGGCGATGAAGGCAACTTTATAGAAATACGCACGGCGATATCAGTCACGTGGAAGGAGCTAGACCCAAAGAGGCACGCTAAATCGAAATTGGTAATTCGCCGTCACCGCAGAGTACGGCGTATACCAGCCTGGTGTATGGCGGTATAGAATGTATAGGAAGGCGGTATATAGGTGGGGCTTTAGGGACTGTTAAAAAATCATGAACAGTCACTGTACTCCTACATCTGCAGATGTATCAAAAATACATGGATTAAACTCTAATGCGTCAGGTCAGTACGGAGTACTTGTACCAGAATCTATCGTCGGGGTTCTTATTTCTTAACAACAACCATGTCTGCCCATCTCCGCGAGATCTCTGAAAATTCCGTGGCTTCCCACGACACAGAGTTGTCTGAAGATGCTCGTCTAGCGAGAGCCACAGAAGAAATGTTAGCAGTCACAGATGCTGCAACACAAGATCAAGACATACTTCGACGGACCCTGAGCGTGCATTCTGTCATATCAAGCTCTCTAAGCTTCGCAGAGCGTATGCAGCGGGCGAAATGGTTTCAGAGTGCTGCGCTAGTTGTGATCGGGCGAGGAACATGCGGCACGGTCTTTGAGATTCCCGGAACAAAATCTGCATACAAAAAAGGCAGCGATAAGCACTCGTTGTGGAACGACGCAAATCTGACCAACATTGCCTGCCGTGCAGTAACAGAGACCAAGACTTCTCTTCAGGAAATATTCCCGAATGTCTCGATTCCTCGTGTGCCTGAGGTGACTGGGTGGATCAGTCAGAATGACTTGGAGAACTGGTGGCTACAGAATTTGTCACGATTTCCAGATGATACTCAAACTGGATATATTTTCCAAGTCCAGCGGATCCTGCCGCTTCCCAAGCCCTCCCGTGAAGCTCTCATTCGCCTCTATTTTCCGAAGAAATTGCGCCGTTCTGCATACCAAGACCCGGATAATAAGGCATGTCTTGTTCGACCATACCTTGGGCAGCGAAGAGGAGAGTGGGAATTTTCTAGTCCAGTACTCAGCCTTCAGAACTTTCCTCTTTATCTCGATCAGATAGAGGAACTCCAGTTAGAAGCTACTCAATTCTCTGAAGAGATGGCTGTTGGGCTGGCTATTATCCACTGGAGGGCTTTCTTAGACGGTATGGACATGGAATTCGTACTCGGTAGTGCGACAGCAGATGGAGAACTTCCCACCGTTGTTGAGAACTTCAAGACGGTGAAACCCTTTGAGACCCCTGCTGGTGATTTCAAAAGACGGCAGGTGCATCTATGGATGCTTGACTTCGATAAAGCTGACCAGCTTAACCTAAAGGAGAGCTGGAAGTCTTGCTGCGATAAGATGGTCACAGCTGTGACAGCGAATGACCCCTATTTCCCCAACCCAGCAGCCACGGGAACTCTCGAACACAAGTTGTGGGATACATTTGAACACGCTTATCTTCTTGCTGCGTCTAATCTTCTGCATATACAGAGAGGGTTGCCAAAGAAGGCGAATAAATACCCAGCTTTATTTTTGAAAGCATGGGAGAAGAAAGCTACAGAACTGGCAAAGGACACAGAGGGTAATTTTGTCGAATTTGGGTAAAATCGGGTTTTATGAATGACGCCTTTTGCTGCAGCCCACTTCGGGCTGTCTTTATTCTGAAACTGGTTGATCTCGGCTGTTTCGCCACAATTTCACTGTGATTAGCGCGCTTTTTCCTGACAATCGAGATGATTGGAACTTCACTTATATTTTACACAGAATGGTCGGAAGCCGTCAAGCCTCCTGTTGGGGTAGATACCCCTATGGACCAATTCTACGCACGAGAGCACGTTAACCCGGCCAGCATTGACTTTCTGTTTGAAACAGTACCTATTGATATCCATATGACGAAGCTTTGTATATATTAATGCTCCTTCTTTTATTAATAGATCAACGGTCTGCTGGTTATCTGAGCGTTCTTGGAGTGCCCGGCGTTGGGGAATTGATTCGAAGCGTCGAATCGCTCCACCTACTTCCAAGCAGTGAATAGCATGATTGTATCACTGCTTAGCTTATATGCATGTCGGTTTACACATTTTGTATCTCTACCCGATATGGTGAAAAGTAGTGACGACGGAGTGCGCACAAACGCAAAGTAGTCTCCGTACAACAACACTGCGATGGAATTTATTTTCCTTTACAGCACACCTGTTTATATTCTGCGGCTTATACTTGCTTCCGAATATTAACTTTAATCATTCATGTCTTCTCTATTGGGAGCACGCTGTTAGCTGCCAGCAACCCTACCACGGCGCTTGCCCAGTCTATATCCAAATCAAACGTCTCTAACCAAACTGGGACGCGTTTCTTGAAAAAACCGGCATGGATGTTAATCTAGCTAGGTTTTCTAGGCCATCTATGAAATCTCTTCCAAATCGACAATAGAAGTATCCTGATCCCTTGATCCACGTCGCACTGGTACTAGCTCGACCCCCCATGCAATCCGTGCACAAGCAGTTACAAACTTCGGTACAATACCTCCTAGATTGACCATCTGCTCAATTCCTTGCCGCCCACCATTTATTTGAGCATGTTAGTCAAAGCAGATTACTGTCCGATATGTCAATCTGACGGGGTGGCTACAATGTGTTCGTGGATTCGGTACGTCATCTCGATGTCATTTTATGCCAACTTCTGTTCTGTTATTTTGCCAAATATAAAAGGTCGGGGGGTTTGCAAGTTTCCATTTCGATGATTTATGATAGTCTCGGTTCCTAACCAGCCTATATCCTGTCACAATGCCTTCTAAGAAAGTTCTCATTGTCCTCAGTGACGCGCACTCTTTCCCTCTGAAAAAGACCCGCGGACACGATGCTGGCAAGGTTGTCGAGCAGCCTTCGGGCTTTTTCCTCCAAGAGCTCACAAAGCCGTTACACAAAATACTCGACGCAGGCCATGAGGTGACATTCGCTTCACCGAAAGGTCATGAACCCGCCCCAGACCCAAACAGCGAAACGCTCATTGCAAATGCCGGCAACTTCTATGAACGTCAACGCGCAAACGATCTTCTTGAACGCATGAAACGCGAGAATGGGTTCAGTAGGCCGCGACCATTCAGTACTATCAGTAACAGTGAGTTGGCCACCTTCGCGGCTGTCTTCATCCCAGGCGGACACGCACCGCTTGAAGATCTGGGAGAGGATGCAGAACTGGGACGAATTCTGCGTTATTTCCATCAGGAGAACAAGCCAACGGCTGTGATTTGTCATGGGCCTTACGCCTTGTTGAGTACGAAGAAGGCGGGAGATGGGTCATTTGTTTATGATGGGTACAAAATTACGTCGTGGAGCGATGTGGAAGAGAATATTATGGAGACATTATGGGGTGGGGAGGTCGAGAAGGTTGAATCGGCATTGAGGAATGAAGGTGCAGTCATGGTGGAGGGTGTACATGAAATAACCGGCGGTACCACGTTGGATCGAGAGCTGGTGTCTGCAGGTAATCCTTTGGCGGCCAATGCCCTTGGTGATCGGTTTGTGCGAATGATCAGTGTATAATATCTTGTTTTCCATCTGGCTTGGGTTTGGCTCATTATCTTGGGGCTATAATCAAGTTTTATGGCTAGCGTAAGTGTAAGCTTGGTACAATTCCTTGGAAACAAATCCGGGAGGCTACAATGATGTAACAATTAAAGCACACCTGAGCTCATATACTGCTCTAGTTCACCAAATTCAACTTTCCTTCATTCATACTTCCAATATACCTCGTTTTAAGTATTACTTACCTGTATCCTTATCTTTGGACCTTGAGTATGAACTACATCCGCCATTCATTTCCATATGCAGCAATGAGACAGCATATCCGCCCATCTGTGGGACTTCGATCACCTGGGCCGGCTTTCAGTCGAAGATGTTTCGCCAGCGAAAAGCCGAGTGGCCAGGCAAAAAACCCCCGGTGGTTAGTCTCCATTTTAACATATGCTACATTAATTGCATCTGACTTACACTTCATCGCTCTCAATAGGCTACTGGTATCAATTGGTCTCGGGCTACCAATATCAATCTACCTGTGGCAGAGAGGTGATACAAAGAAGCCTAGCAGCAAGCCTCATACACAACCACGTGGAGCAAACCAAGAGTATAGTCAGGAATCAGAGGCCACCCAGGCTGGAGTACAGAATATCAAATCGGGATCTTCTGGTGGTGATGTGGTTTGTTATTCCTTCTTTTATTGTGTCGTCAGGGCCTGGTTCGCGTTATCATCATTTAACGATCCAGGGTATTGGGAGAATGCATATCTAACTTTCACATAGCCTCGAGGCATGGGTGCGCCCAATGGCCCCGGAAGCATATCAGCCAAGCAGGAAGGCCTCTCTAATGCGGATACCATGAACCCATATGTGAACGAACCAGGTAAGAGTAAAAAGGGCGAGGGTGAGACAGACAGTGTGAAAGCAAAAGGGACCATTAGGCCGGGTAGACCTCAGGTGTAGTCTGCGCTAAAACCTATCGTCACCGGTCTTGAAATTTAATATGCGCGCTATATGTATTGCTTTATGATTTGGTTAGGTTACCTCGCATTGCAGAGCTATGGAACAAAAGTGGGCGAAGTTGAGCCGTTCTTGAAGATCTCTATCAGTGATTTCCTTTTGCCGTTAGACTATCTTCAGGGCTACCTACCTATCAAATCATGAGCTAGTAGAGCGAATGACTCTAAGCGGGGCACCAGTCAGGCGGGGTACAAAAGTCAGCAATTTTTCGCCCAACGCGGTTTACTTCACTTCTCCCACTTTCCAAATATTATCGCTGAAACAACAAATTACTTCGATCAAGGTAGGCTAGGGCTGTGTTTTGTTTGCATCTCTCGTGGGGACCTTGGTGGTTGCTGACTTCCCGTCAGATCTACTTCATCAAGTCATCAACAATGAACGGACACGCTGCCTGCCCCAAGTGCGGTGTCGCCGCTGACGGCACTGGAAAGAGCTGTGGCGCCTGCGGTGCTGTATGTTGATTCTGCACTACTGCTGTGCGAGCTTATACTAACCCATATTAGACCTGCCCTGTTTAAAGCATCCCTCGGGTGTGGATGAACAGTATCGGAGTTGAGACTGTTTGTGGCTTAGCGATGGCATAGGAGGAGCCAGGGCATGACTTGGATATCAATATGTTCATAGAAATGATATGATGACAACGATAATGAACTCAATATATCCGAAACCAAGTACGATTGTTATGTACGAAAACAATAGAAACAACGTGAAGACATTCCCCTGGAATGAAAGAAATGTAAGACTGTTCCCAGCCGAGAAACAACCATCAGGATATAGGGTGCGTAATAAGAATACCTCCTTGTCTCGTTCCTCCTAAGCCAACAGCCAGGCCTGGGACTCCAAAATCACCATCACTCCAGTAGAGGGTCACCAACATCCCACTTCATCACGGACCAACTATACACCGCTTAGACAGGTCCAGCGGTTTTGCGCCACTGGGACCAAACACCGATCAAACTGCTGACGGTACCTGCGATACCGACGATGCCATCGTCGAGGTTAACGATACCAACGGCAGACAAGGGCGCAGCCAGATCGCAAACATCGGAGATGAGCTGTATCCGAGCAGCAGAGCGCTCCCTAATCAGATTATTAGCATGCCATCCATTTTTCATTCTGGTAATAAGAAACCCATACTTCTCAATCTTCTTAGCCTCAACAACACCCTCGCCCTCCTTGCGGTCAATAGTCTTCTCCTTCGCCTGGAGACGGATGAGAGTGTAGACACCAGCCACAACACTGAAAGCCAGCCCAGTGCCCCAAGAGCGGTAGGCGGATTGCTGCACCCGCTTAACGGAAGGCAGCTTCCGAATGCCAACCACGTCGATGACTGTGATGGCGTCGAGAGTCAGGTAGCTGGCATAACCGAGCTGGCGACCGATGGCCAGGTAGCGCAGGACCGGGTCGACGGGGTTCTTGTTATCGAAAGCGACGGCGGCAGCCTTGAGATGCTCGAGGAATTTGCCGAGACGCATAATCTTGCGAGTCGTGCCGAACTGCTTCTTCACGGCATTGTAGGGGTCGATCGCGGACTGCGGCTTGTTTGTCCGGTATAGGTACCACGCATAGAAGCGGGAGAAGTATTGAATTGTGCGGAGAAGCTTGTCGCGGCCGGCTACATGTTGCATGGATTATTAGCTTGAGTGCTCGGGTGAGGACGGGGAGAGCTCAGCTGAGCTTCTCGGCCGAATGCTCGCCACATGGGGTTTTTGCTGCAGCCGTAATGCAAAGTGGGCGTCTTTTCTTTCGTGCACAGATAGAGGCAAGGGATGTTGCTTTTTGGACTCTGGGGATGTATCACGTACCGGTTGTCGCGACGAAGCGTAGCCAGTGCGCCAGCGCAGGGTGGTAGATGAGAGTGTTAGCGACCATTTTGTCTGTTGCCAATGAGAATGAAGACAATGCAACTTCGAACACCTGAGGATGAAGATGTCAAGAATCAAATGTGATAGTTCACAAGGGAAAAGGGAGTCGGTAATTGACCGGCGTCTGGGGCCGGAAGACCGACCTCGGCTGATCTCGTGTGTGTGGGGGAAGATCCGGAGGTAGGATGTAATGTATTTACTATTAATACGACATTCATGGCATTTTAGCCCCTACTTATCATGCAATTCTTTGAAATACCTTGAAATTCTTCGGTATTTTTCACATGAGCCTGCGTCATCCCATTCTCCCGACATTCATCTTTATCTTTTATGCTGAAGACGACCTTCGGACCTTATATACAAATCCAAACTACTTCCAATTGCATCCGGGCACAATCTTAGCCCTTTCAGAATATATCCCTTTAGCATTGTAATCTTAACGATAGTTGTAGTTGTTGTCAGCATTACTCTATCGCCAAAGGGAGAGTGGAAGGGGCTATTTGCTACATCCCTGGTTTGAGAGACGACAGGCATCCAAGATCGGAGTAATATTGGAAGGGGACCGTGCAGTAAAGCTAGAGTAAGTCCGGGGTAAAACGCCAGAACACAAAGAGCAATCTCCCAAGTACCTTCACATGTTGCAAGTCTTCGGGAATACACGAGGATACCAGGAAGCAACAGTATCAAAATGGCTGCGACTGTTTTACAGTTTAGGATCCGGACCACGGTAGCAGAAAAAGAAAACGAAGACTGGTACATAGTGGAGCCGTTTTATTTGTGGGTAATATCGAAGTCCCCAACTTGAATTAGATTGTTTGTCAAACAAGTCAGGAGTTCGGCTTCTGTCTTGCGAAATGCATCACTGGCAGATCAGAAAGGATATTCCCTCGTTGCTCTCATACATTCATGGGTCGTGTCGCAAGGGCAAGGGGTGGGTGGGATATTTCAAGTCGCAAGGGCCGGGTAGTCGCTGTCTCGTCAATGGTATCTCGTTTACTGGTTGTGCGATGCCGCGTATGGATGGAGTGTGTGGGATTAAGTAGGGCTGGTTGAAACACAACAGCCCAAAAGGGTGAGCAGGTATGTGTTGGGCGCGGTAGGGCTCGGATTACTGTTGTTCGCGGGTGTCGGTCTGGCGGTTATGGTTGCCCATTTCCGTGGTATCGTAGCCATTAGCCTCGAGATAGTCGCGGAACCTGGCATCCTCTAAAGTAATGGTGTCCTGAGAAAAGGTGAGCATATAAACAAGGTACTCTATCTGCAACAGTTCATACCTGGTTAATCTGCGGCATCATGAAAAGGGCCATAAAAGCGGCCAAGATACACAGTGAGCTGGAAACGAAGAACGGGTCCTGGCCTGCGCGGGTCGCATTGGGTGCGTTCTTTTGTATAACTGGAATCACGTAGGTGCCCACAAAAGCCCCGACCTTCCCGATAGCAGCAGCATATGAATAGTACTGGCCACGGATAGCAGTCGCGCTGGTCTTGGCGGCGCAGAGACCGATGTTGTCCCCGGGTCCCATTTCACCGAGAGCAGAGAAGATTCTGGTTTCAAAGTATTAGCATTGGCAATCGCTAACGTCTAACAACTCTGTTAGTAAACTTACCCGAATACGACAACAAAGGCTGCCACGTTTTCTGGGGTTGCAAGCCACTTGTAGCATCCGGCCATGATGAACCCAATGATACCCTGGAGCCCAACCCCAAGGGCAAGGGTGTAGCGAGGACCAATCCAGTCACTCACGAAGGCTCCAAGGGCGGAACCTGGAATGTAGAAAGAATTGACCACGGTAGTCCAACCGAAGCTCTTCCACAAGGGAGCCTTGTCACCTAAGATGATCTGTAGCCAGGCTGAAGAATAGATACCAAAGCTGTAGGAAGAGAAGTCGTAGAGGAACCAGATAATAGAAACAACGGCCTATACATCCAATCAGTTAGTTGGTTGAAGTCTGCAAAGGCAACACGTCGGTGGGGGTTGTTACCAAGCGCTTCCAATAGAATCTAAACCCGTTAGTCAACGAGTCCAAGCAGTGGAAAATGTTGTACTCACTTAATAATCAGCAAGGTCGGAAACTTGTGCATGCGCTCCCGGTTGAATTCCTCGGGCTCATTCATCTTCAGCCGAAGGTACATCAAACTCAGAGGGGGGATTACTCCCAGCCCCAGTGCCACACGCCAGCAAGCATGCAGATGCTTCTCGGTGAAGATCAGGACGAGAATCATAGACACCAAAGCAGCAACCACGAAACCGAAATCAATCTGAAAGTTGGTGAACATGATAAACCAGCGATTGCGATGGCCGCTCTTGAGCTCTCCGGTGTTCTCTGCGGCGCCGACTGACCCAGCAGGGTATTCTCCGCCAATGCCAATTCCCAGGAAGAAACGGTAGGCCGTCAAAGCAGCAAGCATGCCACCCAGGCTGCCGCCAGCTCCATAGGAGCCAGCACCGAGAGCTGCAAAGACAAAGAGGATAATGGTGGAGATCATCAAAGACCACTTGCGTGACCAGTGATCACTAGTGTATCCGAATATCAGCATACCCACCACAGTGCCGGCAAAAACAATGGAAGAGACATTCTGTTGGGCCGTCGATTTGGTGTATTCATCCCCGTAAATCTGTTGCAGCATAGTACCGACGGGACCAATGACCTAGATCCAAGTGTGTCAGTAAAGAGCGAGTAGCATTGAAGCTGTGGGGCTGCATCCACGAGGACGAAACATAACATACCTGGTTCAAGTAACCGTCAGAGAAGAGACCAGCACCACAGGCAATAGTGGGCCAACTCCGTTCCCAGCGCCCTTTCTTCGTCTCGTCAAGAGGCGGCAGCTCGACAAGCTGCTCCTCGAGGGGACCACTGCCCTTCTCAGGCATCTCCTTGGAGTAGGACTGATCCTCGGCCATTGCAAGGGTGAGGAATAGCAATGAGCACTTTGGCTGTGTTTACGCGGCGAGCTTGAGCTTCCCTGGAGGCAAGGATAGCAAATTTGGCACGCGCCCAACGATATTTACTGTCACGCGATCACAATAACAAGAGCCGCGTCGATCGAGGGGTTCTTATTCTCTCAACCGAGGAAGAAGAGATTAGAAGCAGAGAGAAAAGAGAGCGACACCTACCTAGAGGGGAAAAAAGATTGTCAATCCAAAAGAATATTAAAAATATATTAATAAAAACAAGAAACGGGAATAGCATCACTCTAACTCGCATGGGGACAAGTACCGGGTACCTATCACAGAGTAGCAGCGCGCGCGTTAAGCCAAGTATCGGAGACCCAGTGGGACCCGGTCCCCGAGCTTGATCATTCTAAGCATTTAGCTTTGAGAATTTCAGAAGTAATATATTTGTAGGCCAATGATAGACACCATAAATATCAAGGTCCATTCCCTAGCCAATCGTGTGTCCGTCTAGAGTGACCGGTCGGGGTAGGTTGCATCCAACAACATAGTCGGCCACTCCGCACGTTCTACTCACCATAAGGCGATGAGTTGATATCGGTATCAAAGTGAACACGCGGCTTCCTGTTCGAATCAGATATGCAAACCAGTTAGTTATCTCAAGGGTGTGGATGTTGATAGAAGAGTGCATTTTCTACGGCGCACGTCCGTTGATAGTTCCCCGTGGAATTGTGGCTACCTATTTGTGTGGAGTAGTCTCACATGAAAAAGTTTTTGAGGCTGGGATCCAATTTCCTAAAACAGCGAGAGATACATGCTCTAACCTTTGTTTGCTCAAGCTCACCAAGCAGGCAATGGAGCTTCGAAGGGTTTCCATGATTTCCATGATTTCTAGGCATAAAACGGTTCAGCCCTATGTTGTATATCACCACCCCATATCATAAATCCTCGGGCTTGAGTCTTGAACGTAATACAAACACATAGTTAAACCATGCAGTTGTAATTATAATTGCCTTCTTCTAGCCCAAGCTAAGACATGGAATTCCTAGAATCTCCAGTCTGAATCTTCAGCCGATGCGAGTACTATAACGCTGAGACAAGTCAGATATATTACAAACATATATCTCTCTCAAAAGTGAGGTATAAGAGTAGAAATATTTCTTTGGCATAAAGGGACAAATATAATTTGAAGCCTATAGATGCGACCGGGGTCTAGCACAAGTCCAACGTAGATTATCTTAGACGTTCGAAGGGAGAACGCTAAAGAAGGCTCGGCACGGAGAAACATTCCGCCAGCTGAGCTCGGGCTACGGTGATGCACCTTGGCTTGATCTCATCCCCAGACATCACCAGCTGCCATCTTTCCCCTGCTCTATTGCATCGTTTTTTAACACTTGTGGGAATCCTGTCAGCATCTCCAGTTTCCCATCGTCACCATGGGGTCTGATCCACAGTACATCAAGTTCCCCAACCTCTCCATCGCCCAACATGTCTTCAATCTCTCCAACCCAGCATGCGCGCCAGCTGTCCAGCAGAGCTCATTGAAGAAGCTCCAAGAGGTTATCTTGGAGAACAAAATGGCCCCCTTCTACCGGCATCTAGCCCATCCCACTGAAGGCATCTTAAACAACTCCGGCGAAGGCGTAACACAGCACCCACACAATGGGGGAAGCTCAGCGAAGCCTCTCATCACGTCCAATCTTCTTGCGTCTCGCAAAACACCGCTAAAGTTCGATTTCCCTTGGGACGAGAATCTCTACCAGTCTCTACTAGAGGATAACAAGAAAGAACTGGAGACCTTCCAGAAGGAGGAAGACGATGCGGAAGAGGCTGCTGGGGAGACTGAGGTACAAGCTGCGCGCGGGAAGCGAGCTGAGTTCTGGGCTCGCGTGGGAGATAAGGTGAGAATTCTTCGTCCATGTTTTGCTAAGCTTCTTGGTTTTGTTGGCTGACACTAGTATTTTCGATAGGACAAAGCTGTCGAATCCCACGAAGCGCTCCTCGAAAAGACCGGATTCCTGGGCACCAAGATTGATCTGGTAATGGCTATGCTCCGCATCGGACTCTTCTTCGGCGACCTTCTGTTTGTGAACAAGACCATTGAACGAGCAGAGACCTTGGTGGAGAGTGGTGGAGACTGGGACCGTAGAAACCGTCTCAAGGCATACAAAGGGTTGCATTTGCTCACCATTCGCTCTTACAGCCTTGCCGCTCCCCTCCTTCTCGACAGTCTGTCTACCTTCACAAGCTACGAACTTTGCAGCTATTCTTCGCTAGTGATTTACTCAGTGCTCGCGGGATCCTTGTCCCTCAAGCGTGTGGATTTCAAGGCGAAGGTAGTAGATGCACCAGAGATCAAGGCCATTCTTGGCTCTGGGGAGGACCAGCTGGCTGCTTTGAGTGGGGAAATCTCCTCAGGCCCAGGTGCCCGGGATGAGGAGATGAAGGATGCAACTGCGTCACTACCCACACCCGCCGGTGCCAAGACCGCTGTCAACATCTCATCTTTCTCAACGGGATCCGGTGTGCCAGTAGAGGCTGAGGTACCTGTTGATTTCGCACCGCTCGCAAACCTGGTTACCAGTCTCTACAACGGCAACTACCGCTCGTTCTTTGTGGCACTCGCGGCCGTTGAGGATCAGTTCCTGACACAAGACCGGTATCTACACGAGCACCGGGCCTGGTTTGTTCGTGAGATGCGACTGCGCGCCTACCAGCAGCTTCTCCAGAGCTACCGTGTCGTGGCGTTGAGTGGTATGGCCAACGACTTCGGTGTGACGGTAGACTACTTGGACCGGTATGCGCTGCCTAAATTTCTTCAAATATCAAGTCATTTGCTGACCATAACTACAGGGACCTTGCCAAATTTATTTCAAACAACCGCATTGCATGCACCATCGATCGTGTCAATGGTATCATTGAGACGAATCGACCAGATGACAAGAACAAGCAATATGCTGATGTGGTGAAGCACGGTGACTCCTTGATTACCAAAATCCAGAAGTACGGCCAGGCTGTGCGTCTTCGGGGAAGTGAGCGAAGCTAAAGTGGTACATTTACAAACTTGGAGGCATTCGAAGCCTCACAACCACGACCTATGATCAACTATGTATGCCCGAATAGACAATCTTAGTTGCCGCATGTTCTCAACCCCAGGCCCCGTAGACTATGACATGCCACCCATGGCATGACATCCATAGACGATCAGTCCCTTGACTAGAAGTCCACGGTTAGATCCTTTTAGATCCTTCAAAGGTTAAACCCCCGCACTGGGCACGGAAAATGGGTCGACATCGGGCAACCATCTGACCTGACTTTCCCTCGGAGAATTATCGTCGATCGATCGTGTTACCATGCATGAACGTACGCGGTAGTTCTCATCATCGACCAAATAACCGCCGTAGCCACGTCTTCCGTGCCCAGGTGGTCTCCTTGACTCTAAATAGTTCAACGTCCTTATCGTGATCCGCCGGATGTGGAGAAATGCTGACTCACAGGTTCACCGCCAAATGGCCAAGGCCATTTTTTCCTCCCTTCTTCTCCCGATCGCAATCGGACAATCACGACAGGGGTTCGTGCTAAAGGGACTTTTTTAATTGACCAATCTAATCCTTGATTGACGATTCGTCGAAATGTCCTGGCAATATAAGCTCGCATCCAGCGTGCGGGCCTTTCCGCTACGGGCACAGACTAGCCGGCCGCATAATGGCCTCCTATATCGCCCGGCCGCACGTGCCGCTGTGGGGGGTGTCTCTGCCAGTTCAGGTACGTTGGATCCCGAGATGGAGTTTCCGGCAATCCTTCGGTATTGACCCGTTGTTCTGCGGTATAATTACTCGTTTTGACCGTATCCGATTCTGTCTCCGCGGCCTTTATATACTTGGATCTCCTCTTAGTTTCGGGGATACTAGTCTACTTATTCTGAATCTCACTAACCTCCGGGTCGAACAGAGTCCATCATGACTCAGACAGCCTCATATAGCGCGCAGCGCAACCTGTCCACCCCGACCCCTAAGTGCCTGAACGTCGATAACATCAACCAGAACGTTAGGGATGCTAAGTACGCCGTGCGCGGTGAATTGGCCGTCAAGGCTGAGACCTACCGTCAGCGTCTGATTGATGGCGACAAGTCCCTGCCATTTGACAGCGTCATCTTCGCCAACATCGGAAACCCTCAGCAGCTCGATCAGGTGCCCATCACCTTCTTCCGCCAGGTCCTCAGTCTCGTCGAGAACCCATTGTTGTTGGAGAACGCCGAGGTCCTCAAGAAGTCATTTGGATATAAGCAGGATGTGATCGACCGAGCCCAGGTTCTTTTGGCCAATGTGCAGAGCGTTGGCGCCTACAGCCACAGCCAGGGTGCCGCGGGGATCCGGGATAGCGTCGCCAAGTTCATTGAGAAACGTGATGGTTTCCCTGCAAACCCCCAGGACCTGTTTTTGACTTCGGGCGCCTCGTCCGGTGTGAACACCATCTTAAACGTCATCTGCAACACTCCTAGTACCGGTATCCTGGTCCCCATCCCTCAATACCCTCTTTACACCGCAACCTTGACGCTGTTGAATGCCCGCTGCGTTCCTTACCTCCTCGACGAGGAGAAGGCATGGGGTACTGACGTCAACACGATCCTCAAGTCCATTGAGGACGCCAAGGCCGCCAAGACCGATGTGCGTGCCGTTGTCGTGATCAACCCGGGCAACCCAACTGGTGCCTCTCTGAGCGCTGAGGACATCAAGAATGTCCTTGATGTCGCTGCCGAGGAGAGCTTGGTGGTCATCGCTGATGAGGTGTACCAAACCAACGTTTTCAAGGGTGAGTTTATCTCCTTCAAGAAGCGACTGCGCGAGCTCCAGCAGGAGCAGCCCGGCAAATACGACAACATCGAGCTGGTCTCGTTGCACAGTATCTCCAAGGGTATGGTGGGTGAGTGTGGCCACCGCGGTGGCTACTTCGAGCTTGCTGGCTTCGACCCCTTGGTCCAGGAGCAGATCTACAAGCTGGTCAGCATTGGCCTGTGCCCACCGGTCACCGCACAGTGCCTTCTCGAATGCATGGTCAACCCTCCCATCGAGGGTGATCCAAGCTTCGAGCTCTACCAGCAGGAGTACACCGATATCTCAGAAGGTCTGCGCAAGCGTGCCTTTTCCTTGTACAACGCCTTCCAGCGCATGGAGGGCGTCCACCTCCAGGAGCCTCAGGTACGTATTCTAGAGTTATTCAATTTTTTACGCATTTCCTAATCGTCTCGACAGGGTGCCATGTACCTCTTCCCATCTATTCACCTGCCCGCAAAGGCCATCGAAGCCGCCAAAGCCGAGGGCCGTCCCGCTGATGAGTTCTACTGCTTGGCCCTGCTTGACGCCACGGGTGTTTGCGTCGTCCCTGGCTCGGGCTTCGGCCAGAAGGAGAACACTTTCCACTTCCGCACGACCTTCCTTGCCCCTGGCACCGACTGGGTTGAGCGCATCGTCAAGTTCCACGCCGAGTTCATGGACAAGTACCGATGAACATGTACTAATGTACAAAAAGCCATGTAAATTTGAAATGCCCATCCATCGAGATCTTCGAGCGATTGGCTGGCACCATATATTACTCTTTGTTCGTGGTTCTTTTCACGTCTATACGAAATGGGTTTTTGGCATCCATACATGTGTGGCCTCTACGACGCAATGTTTTGAATATTTGAATTTGGATATGGATCTGGAATCGGCTCGCCCCCGATACCTCATAGACTACTGACTCCATTGGGCTTGCTATTTTCCATACTCGTTTTTGGGTACTCTTTCTGGCGTCTGTGCATCGCATTTTGAATAGTGGTATACATTTCCCTTGGGGGACATTTGCATCGTTCGCTCTATTTGATATGGGTACTGCATATCGTGGGTTACGTTTTACAGAAACGTATTCTGAAAATTGATTCATTGATTCATAACAAGTTCTTGTATCTTTCCTGGTCCTGATTTCTAGTTGGCTAAGAGATAACTAGACGAATGAGAGAAGAGTATTAGAAAAAAGAATTGTGGCAGGAAGTGTCGAATTCCATTTTGTTGATAATGCAATTATCAGGTTCAGCAAATATTACCGTTCACTCTCCGAGTCCAAAAGAGCAAAGCAAAGCATGGTGGTCGCTCCAGAGTGTTACTTCGGGCTGAGTCTGCTGGGACTCGAGGATATCCGTGTCACTTTGAGTGTGCTCTTGTCCATCCAACTCGCCCACTTGTTGAGCCTCGAGTATCTCAATTTTACGTGCTTTGAGACCGAGCAGCGCGACTTTGTCCATCCGATTTGGCGGAAATCGCTGCTTCCCATCCGCTCCCCATGTGTAACCTGGTTCCCCAGGACGAAGAGCTGTCCAGGCATCTGTAAGACCATTGGTCTCCACGAGGACGGCATCTTCATCCAGAACCGGGTTGAAGTCACCAGCAACCAGCCCACGGCCTGCACTACGCAAAAAAGAGGAAACAATAGCGAGTTGCCGGGGCCGGTGGGAAGGTTTGATAGCCAGAGAATCCAGATGGACGTTTGCAAATCGTACCCGGGTAGTAGAAGAAGCGTCTGTAGGTGAAGGGACGAACAGATCACAAAATAGTGCATCTCTTCCAAAGTGGCTAGGGAACGCCACCCTCCAAACAGGCCCTAGAGCAAACCTGCTCGTCTCCGAGCCGTGTCGCGATCCAAAGCGCGTCTTGGATACCAAGGTCATTGTCGTGAACGAGTTTCTGCATGGGGTGTTCTCGTGCGCGCTTGAGAACCACGATCCGCGAATGCGCTCATCGCTCAAAATCAGTCGCAAGCCCCGCTGCGAAACTTCTTGGAGAAATATGATGTCCACTTTGGATTCCAGGTGAGTAATGAATGTGAGAATTTCTGTGACGCGTTCTTGTGTCCCATCGGATAATGCGTCAATATTCCAGGTCAAGAGCACCATATCGGATGATGTATCCTCGGCGCGCTGTGACTCTGCATCTTCATTTGCATCCACTGGATCCCACTGCTGGGAGTTGGGATCGAACTGGTGCCAGGACTGGAATTTTGGATCTGGCACGTCGGCTGGGAGGGGTGTGTCATTTTTCCAGGACATTATGCTTGACCTAACACGTACGTAAATATCCATGGTGAGAATGAGGCTGACTGTCTAGGTACTCCCGAGGGTGCCTTGAGGTTCACCTTGGAAGGTGTGGTCAGTCTTATGATTAGTTAATGGCGTCTAACTACGTTGTGCCTGAAAAGGGGAAAACAACTAGTGTATATTCGACTAAGATGTGATGGACAAGAGGGAGAGAGAGAGGAAGAGGGAGCGGAACTATCTGATGATCTGAACCCACATGGGTGACCGCCTTCCGGTCACCCAACATTAGTTAAGCATTAAGCCTCAGGCTGACCAGGAGTGACGTGTGTCTACATGGATGTTGTAATATAACCACATGTATGTATAGATTAATGATGATTTTCATGATGTTGGAATCCCTAATGGCACAGTGGTCTAACCTAATTAGGACAGATCAATCTTAAGTCGGCCCATGCGCGGAGGTCTCCTCGGGATGTGATGTATTGACGTCGAACATGCGGATCCGGGCCAGGTGGACGGCAACTGGAATACGTCAGTCGATATTGGTTACTCCGCACGCGTTCCCTGACTCTAGTATTGACAGCAAGAGCATTCTTGGGGTATCCGAAATACACGTGACATAGGACTAACACATGCTCCCTCCGAACTCCCATCGTTGTTTAAACAGTCCATCCATTAGCTGGCCGTTGCAGGGGTCGTAACACGCGGGCTATACTAGAAGATACATGAACTCTCAAACATATACATCTTTCAGGCCAAGAATATCTGAAGCTTATTTCTTTTTGAACGGCCTAACGTATGGTTCCATAATTTCGTGAGTAGCTAGTGAAGTGATGTAGCGGGTTGTACAAGGGGTATTTCTAGTCTACATGTCTCTCTGAATGAGGTCATAAGGAAACGCACTACAGTCGGTCTTATCTAATGCTCTGTTATGCCTGGCCATCTGGATTGCGCCCTGTACATGTATCTTAGTCGAAGGGCCATCACCAACCAGGATCTATGATTTGTTAGCGGTATGTTAGGTAAACCAAGAGATGCAGTCATAATTACCTCGTCATGTGCTAGGAATAGGGGTAACGCAAGGGTCGAATCACTAATCGGAGAGTGTATCTCTGAAGATGATATAGCCTCCCTTAGTGACCGCACACACGCGATTTTGTACTGAAGGGCAAGTTGAACAAAGTATGGCCCATTATGTGGTAGATATTGTGATAGATGGCGACATGACACAAGAAAGAGACCATTCAAAGAGCTAGCATTGGTAGCAGCAAGTTGCACGAAGTGTTTGTTTAGGTGCTGTGTACAGCTTTCCGGATGGCTAATCTGGCTACGTTGCGAAGTTGAACACGGTACAACATTTGCCATGTCTGCGCTAGGTTAGTCATCATAATCTGCTTCTTAGAAGGTCCGTGAGAAGTAGCGGACTTGCGAGATACATCGACTTCTTCTGACGTGATAAAGCCCTACTTACAGTAGTCTAAGAGAAAATCTTCATTCGAATTTAGGCTCCTGGCAAAACTTGCGAAGGGATCTCTCCGGTGAGACCCCAGGAAGCCCAGAGGGCTTGTGATGACGGATATCGCTATCTCGGCGGCCGCTGTGGAGAATGGCAGGCTTTCGTCTTCCGAGCCACTGATAGTTTTGATTGCATGGTACTCAATGACTCTCTGTCGCCTCGTCTTGGCATGTGCCGATCGGGCTGCATGTGAGTGAACTCGTCGTCGCATTTCAGCCGACGCTACCTCAGGTACTCCGGGTTTGGATGAATGGATGAACTGGATTTCACTTCTTGTGCGGGACATTGTGGTCGTGGTTCAGCGTCTGAACGAGAGCCACTATGAATTCCACCATGAGTTGATGAGATGCAAAAGCGTGTAAACCTTAAAGCCATGACCGGACGTTGCAGGACGAACCTCGGAGCTGAACCAACGTGGAGGTATGCGTCATTTGTCAGCAATGAAGGACCTTGCCAAGACTTGCTCCTTCCCGATAAGGAATAGTGCCACGTGCCCACTCTACTAGCGTGCCTTATTCCTACATCGATCATCGCTCATAGCACAAACAATCTCATTGATAGATTGACCTTTTCCTTGTTAGTAAATCACCTACCAGAACTTCTTACACTTGCCTATAAGTAGATATGCAAGCTTTGTAAGCACTGAATGACCTTGCCAAGACTTGCTCTTTCCAGATAAGGCATCCCCCACTACTTGCCGTTGCTTCGAAGCCAGGAAATGTCCGTAGCAACAGCCAAGGAGAAAAATTGCATTCGTTCTAATCTCAAACAACTTCTACGGAAGCAAGCGGGTAATGAATAGCTTAGCAATCAATCATTCAAGGTACTTATATAAAGAAGTGACCAGCCGCATAGAGGGGTGACCATCTTCAAGAGAGTCTCCCTATTCACTGCTCCGCTGCATATCCAGTATTCATTATGGTCTCTCCTCCTATGAAAAGTTTTGTGTCATTCACCAAGACTTGGCACAATGATACTTACCCGGCCATCTCACCCACACGCCCGGAGCTTTCGATGGCTGGGAAAAACGTTGTAATCACGGGTGGAGGCACAGGAATTGGAAAGGCGGCCGCCATCGCCTTCGCCCAGGCCGGTGCCAAATCAGTTTCCATTATCGGGCGCAGGATCGACCGTCTCTACACTGCAGGGCAGGCGATCACTGAAGCTAACCCCTCGACTCAGGTCGTCATGCAGACAGGCGACATCACCGACCTCGCTTCTGTCAATGCAGCTTTGGGTGCGATTGTGAAAAAGGTCGGCAGCAACATTGACATATTCGTCAGTAACGCTGGTATGCTTCCGAAAGAGGGCCCGGTAATTGGCTACCCAGAGGCTGAACTCCGGCGCACTTTCGAGATCAACACCATGGGCACTTTCCACGCCTTGAATGCGTTTACCCCATTGGCCGCCCCTGGCGCAAAGTTCTTGTACACGGCATCTTCTATCAGTCACTGGGCTCCTCTCCCGGAAGTGCCAGGAGTATGGAGCTACGCGGCCACGAAGGGAGCGGCGCTGAAGATGGTCGACTACTATGCTTCCGAGCACCCGGACATTCACGTCGCGAGCTTCCATCCAGGCATCGTTGGCACTGAGATCAACCCGAACATCCCCGTAGGGCCAGACACGGGTGAGTACCTTTGTTTTCCAAGCCATCAGGAAGACAGATGGACTGCAGAGTCATGCTAACACACCTTGCAGTGGAGTTGCCTGGACACTTTGTTGTGTGGCTTGCGTCGGATGAAGCTGCATTTTTGAGGAACAAGTTGACCTGGGCAAACTGGGATGTGGATGAACTCATAGGTCGGGCGGAGGAGATCCGGACATCATTCCTGCTAAGGGTCTCTCTGAATGGTGTGAACATGTAGTTGAAGTTCTGTTGTCTGACGAGTTCGAGAGATGTGCAACCAAGTTCATAGCCACAAATTTTGATAAAGGAGGCGATGTTGATTGGTTCTCATCGACAGAAATCTGATTCTAGTCCTCGGAGTTCAAAAACCAATTCTTCATGTGTATGGGACAAGGCTTTCAATAAAGCTGACAGGAACAATCGTTAGTTAAAGTTAAGGTAAGGGCCGGCAACAAGACTGGAGGATGACTAAACAGTGCTGGGCGGGTGCAGAATAAGTAGTAGTGGTGTTACAGGTTAAGGGCTGCTAGACGACTAGCTTATGCTCATAGTAGTAACTACAACAATTACGATGAGCTCCGATGGTAGGCAAGATATATATACACGGACCCACTACAACCCTAAAAGGAGAATACCAGACAACGAGGTAACAGACTAAGACTCATGACAGAAGTAATTGATGACGACCTGATGTGCAACTAACAATAAGGCAAACTTGTTTACTTTATTAAAGAATATGCACGGTCAGGTGTTCTATTGCTTGGTAAATGCTTAGCAACTAAGACCGAGCTTGAATGGTCTAGTGATAAACTAGTACTAGTCAGCTGCATCTGATCTCAACAAAGGGATTGTCATTGAACGCAATAGTATACAGATTATACCTCAATCTGACATGTAACTATGTTGTACTGTGACACAATACAAAGAAGCGGTAAGCATTCGAAGACAAAAAAACATACTCCGTACATACCGGGTAATGTCTAGCAACTCCTAGCTTTCCCTTTCCGTTTCAATGCTCACCCCTTGCCGCTTTTTGATCACTAAGTAGAATTGAGCACGCCCCTGAGCAGCCTGACTTGTTCAGTGAGTATTACATAATCATATAACTATTCCACGAACTGCTGAGAGGTTAAGTAATACCCACCTCAATAAAATGCAACAGTATAATGGGGCTAGTAGTTGAAACACTCCTAGGAGCACAGAGCCTGAATTGGAAATTGATTGACCGAATATAAGTATCCTTTGGCGTGGTTACTGCCTTGGCAGAAGCCAGATAGCCACGATGGTCACATCGATGATGTCCGTCCTTTGTTGATGGAGCAAACTGTGCATGGCAGCCAAACCATCGTCCCACTTTCTGAGGCTGTCTAACAGTCGGTTACAAAGCCACTCTGGGGCTATATTGAAGATGACGACCAGAAATGGGAACGTCTGGAACCAGACAAATATCATTTGAATGGCTCGGATAGCCTCTTGGTATCTGGCAAAAAAAGTCCGGTTTGTCGAGCTGATTCCAACATCTACTGTAGCTATAATCCGTGATAATATCAACAGTCAGGGCGCGAAAGGACTCCCCCTGGTGGCTGTACAAGGAATACTGGATCATGCTGCACATCTTATCGGCCTTAGCCCAGATGACTTTCTTAAGGCTGGGGATAGACCAGCGTGAGAAGAAGGGGCTTAGAGCGGCTCGACGGGTCTTATGAATATCGTTATCAATGACATTAAGGAGGATAGGAGTCTTGAGAGCCGTGTCAATGGGACTATAGTAACCAGGCTCCTAAAGAAGCTTGCTACCAACGCTGTAAATCCTCCCGTAGTTCTCTGGAAAGCTAAAGTGGACCTCATTGGGAGGGATTGGATAACATAAGAGCATAAGAGCATGGATGAGATTTCCTTCCTTACAGTATTGGTGATAGGGAATTGGGAGACTGGAGAGACCCCAGAGGAATGGACCGGGGATCTTGGCTAGTGGATGGAAGTACTGGCAACTGAGACATGGTCAGCAGACAAAGCGGCCATAGAGCTAGTAGCCTGATACTAGAGCCCATAGCTCCTGTAAACGATTATTGTGGTGGAATATTACAGGCCCAGGCAGTTGCAGGTGGGAACTTTCACTCTCTATCGCTTCCAAAGTCTAGGCCAGCCATGCATTAAAAGGCTAAATGGCTTGGGCTGGGCTCGCGACTTGTCCACTCGCACTTAAATGCTGTTAACGCCGACATTGCCTGTAATAATGCCGGGCGTTGTGTCTAGAAGACCGAAGCAGTGGAGAGATACCGGTCATGGGAGCGGATTAATTCATCGCCGAAATGTCTCCGCGGACCAAGACCCACTCTAGTACCCACTCCACGGGGCAAGACCCGCTCCGCGGACGAGCCACCGATGATCTTCCGTGCCCTACCTCGACGCTTTAAATAGCAGTTGGTGTGCTGGGTTCATTAAAAGCACTTCGCTACAATATACTATACACATATTTGCCCAATCCGTTGTATCCTTCAATAATGCACTCCCGAGACGCAAAATTTTCGGAAAAAGACATTCCAGATTTGAGTGGATATGTCGTGATTGTTACTGGAGGTGAGTTCTCTCTATATTGTGTTGTCTGGGAGGCCACACGGTGAATACTCACTGACCTTCATTCAGGGAATTCTGGGATCGGGTATGAAACTGCGCAGCAGCTTGCTATCAAGAATGCGCGCGTTTACATTGCGGGCCGCTCCCAAGAGCGAGTTCAAGAGGCTATCCGGCAGATGTCGCAGTCAAATGTAACGAAGCAGCTAGATCTCCGTTTTCTTCAGCTGGACCTGCAAGACTTGAAATCTGTCAGGGCAGCCGCACTACGTTTCATGACAGAAGAGTCGCGCCTAGACATTCTGATCAACAACGCTGGCGTAGGTGGTCTCCTTTCAAGAAAGCCACGGAATGTCAGTTCTGACACTAACTATCAATGCCCCATCAGGTCATGACGGTTCCATACAAACTTACTGTTGATGGATTCGAGACACAGTGGCAGGTTAACTATCTGGCGCCTCATGTCCTTACATCAACCCTGATGCCGCTTCTCTTGAAAACTGCATCTTCTTCCGGCTCTTCCGACCGTGTGCGCGTTGTCAATGTCTCGAGTGATGCAGCATTTTTCGGTCCGAAGACGTTGTTGCTGGACGACGTAAACATGACCGAGACGAAGGGAGTGATGGAACTGTGGTATGTGCACACCTGGATGAATGAACCCATGCTCTGTTACTAAATCCTAGAAGGCAACGGTATGGGCACTCTAAGCAAGCGAGTATCCGGGATGCGAAAGAGTTGAACGATCGTTACGGTTCTCAGGGTAGGTTACCATCGACTTGAGGAACAACTCCCATGCTGAACAATATACAGGGGTTACCGCATACTCGCTTCATCCGGGTATTGTCCGATCGAATCTTCAACGGCATGATCCGACCGTCATTGGCAGCGTCGTGCGAACTCTTATGAAATTTGCAGCTGGTAGCACCCCGCTAGAAGGGGCGTTGAATTCTCTTTTCTGCGCCACCAGTCCGAAGGCGCCGATTATGGGACAAGGTCAGTATTTCGTTCCGGTGGGTAAATTGGACTCCCGAGCAGCAAATTGGATCAATGATTCGAAGACCAACAAAAAGCTTTGGCAACAAAGTGAGGATCTGATCAAGCGCTTGGTGTGACAGTGGGCCACTAGTGCTTAGGTACTCATCTGAGTTTCATTTGTCACGGGAGGCATACTAGGATATAGTATTTTTAGTCATTAATTCAAGTTGCATTACTGGTACGAACATGCTAGGTTATGGCCCGTAGTTTCTGCCAGCATCATCAGCTCAATTCCGCCTATGAATCAGGAAAGGTGATAAAGTTGGGCGCACACCGCAACTTCACTTACATTGAATCTTACGGCATGGCTGGCCAAATGTCTCCTTGTTCGTCAATGACTAGTGATTCACTCCTCATAGGTTGTTCCAGGATTCACGAAAGTTGAGAATCTGACGCGGTACGAGAGCGTTGAAGAAACGTCTCCCAGAGGCCCTAATAGATGCGGAGGGTGGTAAGTGCAACTGGAGCTTGTAGAGCAAAATGGGACTCTTAGCAAAGGAGAATATCATGACGTACCCAATCGACATTATTAGGAGTAGCGAGCATTGCTTCTATCCCTTCCAGATATGAGTTTTGCGGCGAGATTTCTACTAGAAGGAGGGCTGTGAGACGTCATGTTTTGTGACAAAGAAATCCGACTACGGATTGCCGATATAGAAGACTCAACGGGATGAAATGGGAAGAACATACCTTCCTGCAAGAACGAAGGATCGTACGAGAAGATAGGATTTTGAAGGTCCCCAAGCGATTGAAAGTCCTCAAGGGAACTTTCCTGAGATTCTTGGGATGTGCAAACTCTCTGTAGCATAGCTGAAATAAGATCCAGGCCGAATTGGGCTTCAGTGGAACTCGCTTTGAATTCTGCCCAAAATTGACGGGAGTTTTTGAGGGCTTCAATCAGCTCCTCCGAGCGATAATTCCCAAGATTACGGTCGTATGAACTGGAAGGCGCATAGCCTTCGGAACCACGGGAGCCAAGTTCAAGACAGACGATCATGGATGCAAGTAAGAAGTCATGCTGCTCAAGAGAAGAGATAAACCATTTGTCTCGATAAAGAAGACCACCAGGGTGGACTTCTTTGAAAATGTTCATCTGGTGTGAAAGGATGGACATTGCCGCGTCGATGCAAGAGGATCGCGAATAACTGAATTTGGGGTCTTGGTAAGCCTTTGTCATATGGTGACGATGCAAAAAGCACCGGGCTTTCTGGAAAAGCAGTTCAATATTGTAACGCCGAATTAGTAAATGAGAAGGCGTTGTGACGGATGCTTCGGACGAAGTCATGCGAAAACGGGGTGGGATGGAGCTCTGCACGGCGAGCAAGCGTTTATCAAGAGCCATGATCTCCTCATATCCCTCGACCCGACCGAGGCAAACCTCGTTGAAAATAGTTCGGAATACGGACAGAAGTTGAGCTTTTGCAATCGTGTAAGATACAGGCGTTAGCTCGGTATGGGGCCGCGAGGGTGGCAGTCGCATCGTGTCTGCATCAAAATCTTCGTCGATGAGGTTGTGTGGAAGCTGAGTATCACACTGTGATTCTTGTATCATGGAAGGCAATCCAAGCTGACATGAAGTCAAGGCATCAAGTTGTAAAATTATCGCCCAGACACGACGTCGCATCTCACCATTGAAGGTAGAAATCTGTGAGTAGTGCTCTGGGTCTCGATGATATCCCATCCGCATCGCCAGCCTGGTAGCAATGCCACAAAGAACCCATACGCCCAAGTGAGCATCTCGACGTCGAACATACTCGTTTTGGATGTTGAGCAGCAGCGCTTCCATAGTGTGGGCTGTAGGAATAGTAGAATATTTGGATATGATGAGACATTCCGTGGAACACCGTTGAAAAACATCCATGGCATTGCGCGGACTGCCTAACCCGTTCGGAAGGTCATCTTGTGATCGTACGTAGAAGAATACCCCCATGGACATGATACCGAAAAGAAGACTCAGCCACGGGGCGGAGAAGTTGTGGGGTTCAAGCCAGAAACGGGCATACTGCAGATAGAGTTACTTTCACAGGCTGACGATACTCATACCAAAATGAAGGTACCTCTTGTCCAAAAGTGGGCTTATGAATGATCACTGCATTCGCAGTTCGTTAGTAACTTCAAGTTTAGTGGGGAAGAAATTCGTACCAGCAGACGGCTCATTCGAATTGATGTAACGAGATACCAGTCTGTCAGCCACATCCCTCGGGGGGATTTCACATAGTACTGCCGCTAGATCCGAGCTAGGGTGTGTCCCCTCGAGGAGCATTGGCCCCCCCTCATGTTGGATTTGACCTGGAAAATCCAAAGGTTCTGCCGAGTGGTCTCGATCGATATGCTCTCTAATGCTTGCAACCTAGATATTGTTACTACGATGAGCTCCTATTGTAAAGCCTCCTAGGACTTTGACTTAGTTCTTTACTTCGTTGCAAATCGCTGCCCAGTGAATGCCGGAGACATACACCACCTGACCGCTGTTTGATATCATGTGGCCGGGCTTGACCTCGATATCATTCGACTGTGCTTGGTCAGATGCAACTTGCTCACGGCTTTCAACGGCGAACCCCAATTCCTGAATATTCGATGGATCAACAGCATCTTGAATCGGCGACCCTGGAGCAACGCTTGTACCGACAAGATGCTCTAATTGGCGAATACGCGCAGAGAGATGCTGGTTTCCATGTCTTGTGTGAGCAGAGTTCCGGCTTCGTAATACAGTGGCATAAACGCAGTCAACACCTCTCGTGGCACAATTACCGCACGGCTCCTTCCGATCACATTTCAGTCTAACCAGAAATTGGTGAGTTGACTTCATTGACGATAGGCCCCGCACTTACTTCCGTTGCCGGCAAGAAGCGCAAGAGAGGAATCCACGAGCACCTTGCATAGTTTATAGATCGAGATATTTAACCGGACTGAATCGCAGGGCCACTGGAGCCGTTGAGGTTCCAAAGGAATGGAGACTCGCGTGGGATAGGTCGCGTGAGTGTCGTATCTCGACTAGGTCTCTCTAAAAACCCACCCACCCACGCAAACGGCCCGTTGGGTCGGTCTTAGTCAGCAGACCCGTTTGCTGGTTGATAAGCGATGAGTCGGAGTTCATGTTTCTGAACCAGGCAATCAAGTAGCTAAATGTAGGAATAGCCTCAGGAGTTCATTGTGTGTTACTGTATTAGATACAAGTAGACTGGTCGACAGATATGTATGCACGTGATCCTAGGATATTTAACACGTGTTGTAGTTCAGAGGTATGATTGTCATTTTGGGGGGGAACATGCAATATATATAACAATGAGCCAAGTTGATCAATCATCTTGCTCGTCCGTATGGACACCTCGGGAATTGTTTCCGATGATGCGGCTTTTACCACTACAAGACAATAATATTCAGCATTAAAAACCATAAGAGCCCTACATTGAGTAAATTCCAAGCTCTTGGTGGCCGAGTCTGATCTCAGTAGCCGTTATGTATTATATAGAGTGAGAAATACTTTGATCCGGCTACTATACGGTCTATACCTACTTATCGCTGCGGTGGGCCCGGATCAATTGAGGACTCAAGGCCCCCAGGCCAATCCTTCGGAGTTCCGCGGGACAACCCAGAAAAGCAGTGCAGTCGTCAGGCAGTAGGTACGGAGTACTCCGCGGATGAACCCAACTGTACGGAGTACTACCGACTACGTCAGGACGAATGGATCGGCCTACTTATCATTATCGTCCATGGCATTTGTTTATATATCTGGACTGATGTCCGTAGGGTCACCATACGTACACATTTCAGCTTTGCCAAGCGAATATTCACTCGAGCTCGATGTCTGAACTAAGCACCGCGCCAACTCCATACTTATCCTCGTAACAGAAAATAGATTATATCTGAGATCTTGAGCTCGAGACGCTCTGAATTAGAAAAAAAGATGAAAGCAATATCATGAACCGGATGGGGTTCTCCACTCCGTCCTACGCCTTTTCGTCATGACGTATCTCCTTAATAAGATGTAGTGGTCCAAACATTGAGGGCAGCAGCGATACTATCAACGAACTAACTATGTATCATAGTATAAACGACCTTATGGGGGCTAATCCCTTCTGGGTATAGTCTGCAGTGGGCTGAGCATCAGTCATTCTACACGTGACTGAACTGAGCATGATCACTGATCTGAGTCCGTGCTGACATCTACTCAGTGAGCCTGAGCCTGAGTACTCATAAAAGCGGCCGCAGATCAAATAGGAAAGCCCTACCTGGCAGGGAAAATCCGGTACGTATAGTAACATACACACATACCCCGGCTGCTCCAGTAGAACCTATGACCTCAGAAGTAATCCAGCTCTATCTCTCCAGATCCATAATGCCTTCCCTGTTGTACATCCTCAACCCAAGGCCCACACATATGCAAGGCGCATAAGCAAATCCACTCACATACACCTCACGCTATGTTGTATGTACATATTCGGTAACCGGCTATCTGTATTACCGGGTCCAACCGATTCTACTCGCACAGCAGAGGTGCAGCATACAGTAGTCACACTGCAGACCGCATCCTCGGACGAATGTCACACTTACCTTGCCCCAAGCCCTGACTTGCGTCGTCTTGGCTAATGCTTAGCCATGGGGTAGCGCCGATAGGGGGTTTCCCGGTTCCATGTTGCACGGTATGTACAAAGTATATTATGCAAGTATGTCCGTGGTTGCGTTGGATAGATATATAGCTAGGCGGGGAGTGTACATACAAAGCGTGGAACTGTTCGTTTCTATTTAGGGTAGAGTAGTGTGATGTAGTATATATGTATATTGTAGAGAAATAATTTATTGCTTATTAGTGTTAAATAGTTGTGCGATATACATAGATGTTGTTCGACTGTTTTAGAATGGCGGGGAGAGTCTCGGAGTAAGGGATCGCGTTACAACTGGATCATTGGGTACTTAGGGCAAGAGGGCAACCTCTAGGGCCTAAAATACTCCGTATACTCCGTATACTCCGTACGACCTGACCAATCCACGAGTCAATTTGCCGATGAGGCAGCTGAGTGTCACTGGGCGTAGCTCAGGTTTTCTCACCGCTACATCCCCGCTGCCTGGCCGGGATCCTCTTTCCATCGATCGTTACTACTAGTATTTTTTGAAGCTGAATTCACAAAGTAGTTTATTTGGTATTAAACTATTTACCTAGTTGATAGGTAATTGGTGATTAGTGATATCATCGGCTTGGGGAGGTATCTCAGCTACCGTCCTGTGTTGCCCTATATAATAAAATATCGGGTGCATACATCCACAGGCGAATCCCAGGGTTTGTGATCCGCACTGTGCATGCATTGGGTATCGTTGTCCGGGGGCGAGTGAATAAAGAAGAATCACTCGAGTCATTATACATGTAAGAAGAGAACAAATGAGAAAGAAATTCTATACACCAGCGAAAAGCAAGCAAGGAGCAAAAAAAAAGCGCATGTACGGAAGCAAAAGCCAAAGAATGTACAAGCACGTGCATGTCTCCAAATCGCAAACCCCTCTAGATTGGATGGCTATCAAGGAAGGAATCTAGACTGGCTAATGGAACAAGACAAATCAGGCATTTATCATCATCTCTCATCATAGTCATGAAGACGGTGTGGAGGTGGTGGTATATTGCCGCGAGAGAGCAAGCCCCGGGACAGAAGAACCATAGGGGGAATATAATATAAGCAAGGATCATCATCAACCACTGTTTCTTACTAGACCCAGGATTGTTGGAAGAAGTTGTCGTCCATGGGCGGGGTGGAACTAGCATCAAAAAGACCGCTAGACCAGATAGGAACGGAGTCCGGCGGCGGCGGCGAGGGAGCGCTGGTAATCGGGGCCGACGTCATGGGCTTGTACGCTGGTATCTGCGACATGGTGTAGATATCCTGCGCAGAGACAGGTTTTGACTCCACGCTCATGCTGACTTGCAGCTGGTGCTCCAGCGCAGCAGTGGACTCATTAGTCGACTTAAGAAAGTCATCGATGTTGATCGAGTCCAGCTCGTTGGATGCCAGGAGATGCGTCTGAGGTAGACCAATCAACGAGGATGCAGAGCTGATGCGGAGATGGTCCATGTCAGACGTTTCGCTCACGCTGTGCAGATCGTGCATGTCATTGCTAGCATGACCCAAGCCTGGAAGCGTCCCAAACTCGTCAGTTTCCGAATTGTCTCCGGATGATGATGGCGGTGGAAGACCCGAGGAGTACGCGGTGTAATCGAAGCTGGCATATGAAGGAGCTTGCGTACTGGTGGTGCCAGGCACGTCGGAGTATAGAGGGAAACTTGACCAGTCGACCGAGGGAGCACCGATGCCAGCAGACCCTAGGGGCATATCGGAATCTGGCGAAGTGAAGGAACATTCTGGGTAAGATTCTTGGAATGCCATGCAGGTGATCGGAGAATTGCTGCTCGTGGTCGGGAAGGAGGCGAAAGAGGAGACGTCAAGTGGAGGAACACTGGTGACAATCTGCTCCAGGGGAAATTTGTCCATGGTTGCAGGGGCAGATATCGGGTTCGACAGCGCATCATGGGATCGGTCTAATGATGGAGCGGGAGGTGCTGGTGTAACGAAGTTGTCGAGGTACGAGTGATCGAGAGGGGCAGGTTTCAAATCGTCTTCGGCGCCCGAAAGATGCGCGCTGTTGGGAGAACCATTTCGCGACGTGTGTTGTGAGGTAGGAAATTCGGATAGGGTGAAAGGATCCTTAATAAAGGTCGACTGGCCTAGCGGCAAATGATCCACCGAGCGACGGGGTAAGTCGGTTGGGTGGTGGACGGAATGCGATCGCGGGATCGTATAAGGCAATCCACATTTGTGAGCCATGTCATTATGCTTGTGGGCAGGTTTATGATGACCGTCGCGGAAAATCGTGAGCGTCGATTCAGATTTGGTAGACGTAAGAGGCGGTTTCCGTGGGGTTTCAATTGTAAGCGGGGGTGGAGGGAAGGCAAGACTGGTTTCAGGCACAGTATCTAGGTGTTCTTTTTTGAGTGCACAAATGCAGCGCTGGCCATGACAGCAGCCACAGCGACCATGGGAAATGCCAGTATGGCAGTCTTCCTTCTTCTTCTTTTCGCCGCAATCACACTGGGTGTGGGTTGTCCGAGACTTGCGTAGGCCGCGGCAGTGAGTACATTGAGAGACTGGGCGGCCTTTTTTGTTGATGTGGGTCAATTGGCGGTCTAAAGGGGGGATTAGCATATATACACAAGGTTGAGATAGCGTCAGATTGGCATACCACTATGGTGACAGCTGCTGACTCGGTGACCCCGGACGCAAGCCTCACAAGCATACTTTTCACCATCGATGAGCATCGCTGCGGTGTTACTGGGAGGTACACATGCGATGATTCGCGAGGGATACCGGAGAAAATAAAAGTTTGGAAATAAAAGAGATCGGTTGAAGAGACCGAGGTATCAAGCCGTCAAGGCGATTGGCAGCGGCTCCTTCGAGAGGGCCGGGCCGAGTAGAACAAAATGAACAAAAGGGTATAATCGTATAGTCGAAGGTCCCAATGCGCGGTGTTCACAGAACGCCGGACTAGCAGTGTAGAATGCCGCTGAGAGCCACCGCACTGTCTTCGATTGGAACAGAAAACAAAAAGAAATCGAAAATCCAAAGGGTATCTCAGGCGCGAGGTAGAGAGAGGGAGGGGGGGTGGTCAGGGATCGGAGAGTAAGAGAGAGGGAGAGAGAGGGGGGGACCAAGCCTACGCACCGTTTGGCGCCGGCCGTTAGACAGGACACCAAGTACCGGTAGTGGCGGCCAAGATGAAAAGCGTTCGATAAAAGAAGACGTTGGACACGCAATGAGGAAGAGAAAAGAGGAAGGGAAGGGAGGCGGGCAGCAGCCGTTAATAACGGGATGGTATGGAACGAGGATTTTCGCTGCG